TCCATCCTACAACATCTGATCATGGACTTCATCTCGCTCCTTGGACAGGAAACCGAGAGGAAGAAAAAGGCTAGTACTGTAAGGAACGATGATGTTCCAACCACGGCCACTGCTCGACACAAGCTGCACGTTCCTGGTCTTCAATTCGAGTCTAAGGATTGGTTCACTGAAATCATTCCTGCCCTGAAATCCTGGGGACAAAACGTATTGTTTCTGGGACAGAGCAACATGGGTAAATCCTACTTTCTCATCAAACTCCTGAAACGCGTGCAACCTGAGCGTATGGTGGTCATCTCCAACACGCCGGCCGATCAGTATCGTCTCCCAAGCCTCAAATCCTTTAAGCATTACAGCACCATGCCCGAGTGCATCGAAGACATGGATCTCCAGCCTAATACGTATGTGATCATTGATGACATCAGAGTGATGGGTTTGAAGCACGGTAGTCAAAGAGAGTGTCTCTACAAGTTCTTCACCATGTACAGCCATCATCATAAGTTGAACGTGTTCTTTCTCTCTCAGAGCTTTGATAACATTAAGGACATGAAGATCAATGCAAACTTTATGTATCTGTTTCGCTTCACCGATAAAAGCAATATATTAAAAACGTTATCTCAATACTCTGTTTGGTGGTATGTGCACGAAGTCATCCATTATCTTTAGATTGTACGAGAAGTTATTGTCGGCGTGCCGCAGGCCTATCCTAACCATTGATTGCTCTTCTAATCAGTACTACACGTATTGCGAAGACACTGCATTAAAGGTGACTTTTGAATAAACCCCTCGTTGATGTGTGTGTGTACGATATTAGTCGAAGAGTTAGCCGAAAAGTTAGCCGAAAAGTTAGCCGAAAAGGTAGCCGAAAAGTTAGCCGAAAAGTTAGCCGAAAAGTTAGCCGAAAAGTTAGCCGAAACATTAAAAAAAAAATCCCAATCATGAATAAGAATGGAGCATCTTACGGTGAAATTCTCAAATGGGCTACCGAGTAGTATACAAAGAGTTGGACCCAGAAAGGGGTCCTTCTCGATACCCAAGCGTAAAAGGTTGCAAACCTTGCAGTTTATGACGAAACATCCTCAACACATCATTAAGAAGAGAGCAAATTCGTGGGAAGTTCTCGGTATACCACCACTCATGCGGCAAAAAGGAGGTAATAACTACAATACCTACTTGAAAAGCGTTAAGAAAGTTCTTTCCCAAGTACCAGATCACAGTTTGAGCACCTCCACCCTGTTGGAACTGCAAGCCGATCCGCGAGTAAAGCGTCTATATGACACCCACTTCAAAAACAATCCCGATCACATCAGTTACGCGTCTGTGAGAAATGTGATTGCATCCAACATACTCAACTATGATTCCACTACCGATCAAGCAGATGTCAGGAAGAAGAGAAAGGCACCTTTAACATCGGTGCCTTTCAATCTACTACAAGATCATGAATTTGACCGATGGATCCTGCAAATCCTGGACAGTTTCCTCCGGCATACAAATATACCGGTAACCTTTTTGAAGAGCAACTATTTCACAAGCCGATCACAACTGCTGCAACTCTACGATGAAGATCGACTGAGGTTCAGGAGTCGGGTGGAAGCGGCTGCGGATGCCCTGAAGACGCAGACGATGAACGACTACACTACTCTGGTGAACGAGACGAATCGCATCTACATGTCCAGGTACCTGTTTGCAGCCATAGCAGGTGCCATGGGAATCGACAAACACGTCGATGGGTTCCTTCGATCAGAACGAAAGATTCAGGAACTAACCACCCTTGTGCTAGCTATACCGGGATCACAGCTCAAGTTTCAAGATCTCAACGATATGACTTCTACGTATGGTAGAACAACAGAAGCAAAATTGATCCATCCCGAGCATTTCATGATCAGAGCACAAAAGGTGATGGTGGACGATGCATCATTCATTCAACAGGTGCTGAAGGACTAAAGCAGGATCACTCGTATCATCAAGGATATCCTGAGCGGACGCTCCATGTGATCACGTGCCAAATATTTTCAGGCTATGATCAAGAATGGACTATCCTCTCAGCAGTGCCGATATCAAAGGAAGATTGAATGGTGTCGGAGGGTTCGTGGGCTGTACGAGTTACGACCTCTTGCCACCCTTGAATAATGGAGACTTTTGTATCGTCAACACCGACAACGTTCTACCGGTGTACGATGCAACGGAAGGCGGACATCATTGGTTGACCGTGTGTCGCGAGCAAAACGTGATCCTGGTTTTCGACAGTTTCGGACGCAGTCTATACACTATGGAGCAAGATTACACTGAACCTGCACTGTGCGATTTCTTTAAAGAAGCCTACGCAGACTGTAAGATCATCACCAACACCCAAGCCGTTCAAGACAGAAGCACAGCAGTATGTGGATGGTATGCCATATTGATGGGAAAGCTATTTTCCAAATATGGTCTGGATGAAGCACTTCGAATTTTCCGAAGAGTCTTTGATGATGACGAAAAGCTGGAAAATGATAAACTGGTTCTCGGTTCAGGTGCCCTGGAAGGTGCTGGAGCCTTTTGGGACAACAAAGTGCAAAAGGCAATTCATGATGGAAGATGGAAGAAGAAGACAGAACCCGCACAGTTCCATACGAAACTGGCTAACGAATTGCACAAGCCCAGACGAGTGCATTTCAAAAGACGCAAGGTGAAGAGCAGAGCAATTGACCATATATGGAGTGCAGATCTCGTGGATATGCAACGGTTTGCCCGAAGCAATAAGAACATCAAATTCCTGCTAACAGTCATCGACTTATACAGCCGCTATGCCTGGGCAATGCCTTTGAAATCGAAGACGGGTACCGCCGTGAGAGATGCGTTCGATGAGATCGTCATTACATCCGGAAGGACACCGCTAAAACTCTGGGTAGATGAAGGTAAGGAATTCTACAATGCCCCCATGAAACGATGGTTATCACAACACAACGTCATCATGTACAGCATCCATAACGAGGGTAAAGCGGTGGTGGTCGAGCGCTTCAATAGAACGTTGAAGGCAAGAATGTGGCGTCACTTTACAGAGAAATCCACGAACACGTACCTCAATATCCTACCTCATCTACTAGACCGCTACAACCAGTCAAAGCATAGAAGCATTGGGATGACACCTCACGAAGCATCGAACGGTAGAATACCAAAAGATGCAGATCAACAAGACCCCCTGCAGTCAAAACCCAAGTTCAAAGTGGGTGACGAGGTGCGCCTAACCGTATCTAAGCGTCATTTCGAGAAGGGCTACACTGCGAACTGGACGGAGGAAGTATTCGAGGTGGATGAAATCCTATCAACATCACCACACACCTACAGGATTCGTGATCTGATGGGAGAACACATCATCGGATCGTTTTACGAAGCAGAACTGCAACACGCCAGAGAGACCGGTTTAAGATTCGATAAGGTGTTGAAATACAACAAGGATTAACGTCTTGTGCAATGGAAAGGCTACACAGATAATAAGTTCAATACCTGGCTCACAAAGAAGGATGTGAACAGTCTTAGATCATGATTCACAATGTCATTCATATTGAAAAATAAAAAATAAATGATTGAGTGCTATGTACAAGCTGATGGTGTTCATGAAAAGCTATTCATCAACGATCATGAATGTGTGTGTGCCTCTGTGTGTGTGTGTGTGTGTGAGTGTGTGTGTGTGTGTGTGTGTGTGTGTGTGTGTGTGTGTGTGTGTGTGTGTGTGTGTGTGTGCCATCGGTTGTTCCTTACAGTAAAGTAGATGTCTATCCAGAGTCTCTTGCCGGCGACACAAATGGAGGCACCGCAAAAAAATGTAGTGCCGACATTTGGCACCCGTGGCGAGCAGCCTACTCATATTTTTTAATCCACACCCAGTGTTGAGCGGTACCATCACCGAACAGCAATCATCTGACTCTCCCATGTTTGTGAACACGAGCTACTTGTTAGAAATACCGGAAAATGATCCGAAAAATTGAAATTACAAGTCAAAATACTGCAAAAGAGAAAAACCCTGGTGACGGATTCAAATCTGCTAGGATGAGAGTATATGTAGAGGTAGGCGTTTCTCCGAATGTGAGGTAGTAGATGAAACGGATCGGATAGGTTCTGATTTGATTGCGGACCCATGGGGCCTCTGGTTCCTGGAGGACCTATGGGGCCGACGATTCCTTGGGGGCCCACAGGACCTCTGTTTCCTGGAGGACCGGTTGCACCGATGGTTCCTTGGGGACCCACGGGACCTACGACTCCTTGATCACCTTGCACACCACGTTCACCTTGTGGGCCGTCTTGTCCGGAAAATGATCCGAAAAATTGAAATTACAAGTCAAAATACTGCAAAACTATGAGTTCTGATTAATATAAAAATGGAAAAAGTGAGATAACATTGACATTAGAAATAGTAATATTTTAGACATCGGAATGCAATATTATGATGTAGGGCAGGACATAACACCCACCCCTAAAAATCAAAATTAATGATACATGCGGAATTCCAAATCATGACACCATATTACCTTATTGTTTAGGGTAGAGCATAACATCCCAATACATATTTTCAATAATACCCCTTTTTTTGAGGTAGGGGCACCCCCGGCACATATTTTTATCCGCAAAAAAACCGGGCCAAAAATAATTTTCACCGCAAAAATGGGGTACTATTAGTACCCCAGTTTTCAATAATACACCATTTTTTGGGACCCGGGCGCCCCCTGGCACAGAACCCGCTCGTTACTTACTACTCCCCCCCCCCCACCTTACCAAACATTACAGCCCCCCCCCCCTTAACCTAACATTACACCCCGTACCTAACATTACACCCCCCTTACCTAACATTACACCCACCCCCCCCCCCCCCTCCTTACCTCCAAGAAAGACACAATCCCATGCACAAATTGTACACATGCAAACACCTCCACATTCACATTAAAAGCCAGTCAGTGTAAGTTACCGAGCAGTGTGCTTAGTACCTGGGACAGTGTCAGCAATGCAAGTACACATACACACAGACCTAC